GACGGAGCCCTGGCCCAGGCTGCCCAGGGAGGCTGTGGAGTCTCCTTCTCTGGAGATATTCCAGCCCCGCCTGGACAAGGTCCTGTGCAGCCTGCTGTGGGTGACCCTGCTTGGGCAGGGGGTTGGACTAGACGACCCACAGAGGGCCCTGCCAACCCCGAACATTCTGGGATTCTGTGATTCTGTGATTCTGTGACCTTGTCCAGGCGGGTCTTGAATATCTCCAGAGAAGGAGACTCCACAACTGTTGCTTGATAGCAGGGATTTACGAGAGTAATCAAAAAAGAGATGGACAAGAGATGAAACATCTGCAGTTGGTCACGGGAATTGCTGTTGGCTTTCCGAGGAAAACAGCTGCCTTGGTGGGGGGGAGGAAGCAGAAACGGCTCTTCCTGCAGAAAGTCAGATCTGCTGCTAGAGGTGCAATTTTCATGAGCCTCATGAGGGGATCTGAAATGGTGAGGACTGGCTGACGAGCTGCAGGCCGACGTAGAAAGGTCAGATTATGTACGTATTTTTATTTTTTTCCCTCCTAGTGTCATCTAGACTGTCTCAGACGTCCTCTCCTCAGTCAGGCTGCCCGTCCCCGTCCATCCAGACAGGCAAAGTCATCTCCTCGTCCCAGAAGCACAGCAAGAAGGCACTCAAGCAGGTAAGCAGCCGAGTCTGGAGCCTGCTTTGGGGATTGCTGTGATTTTATTTCCCTGGTAAATCGTCTTTCTCAGTGAAGCTGCTCTCCGCAGGGAAGGAATTCAGGACTTCCTGGCTCTCTCGTAGTAAACAGGGCTTTGCTAAAACCTCCCCCTCTCGTAAGGCAGTGCGGAGTATTGTGCTGCTTGGTTCTTTGCTTTCTCCCTAAACAAGCATCTGGAGATTTTTTTACTGTTTAGAGGCCGGGTATGAGATGTTGTTTTTTTCCAGCCAGCCTTTTGATGAGCGTGTTCAGCTTCCTGTAGTCCAGTTTAGTACATGGAAGGTCTTTTTGGGGAATGAATCAAATCCACCGCCTGCTTCCCCTGGTGAGGGCGAATACTTTCCCTGAAAGAAGGCGGCTGCGAGGGGACCTTATAAATGCCTACAAATATCTGCAGGGTGGGGGTCAAGAGGATGGGGCCAAGCTGTTTTCAGTGGTGCCCAGCGACAGGACAAGGGGCAATGGGCACAAACTGAGGCACAGGAAGTTCCGTCTGAACATGAGGAAGAACTTCTTCCCTCTGAGGGTGACGGAGCACTGGAACAGGCTGCCCAGGGAGGCTGTGGAGTCTCCTTCTCTGGAGATATTCAAGCCCCGCCTGGACAAGATCCTGTGCAGCCTACTGTAGGTGACCCTGCTTCGGCAGGAGGGTTGGACTAGATGACCCACAGAGGTCCCTTCCAACCCCTACTATTCTGTGATTCTGTGATTCTGTGATTCTATGTACATAGAGTTTCATACTTTACAGGCTAGTCTTAGACTACATGAACCATGATGAAATCTAACAGAATGATTCCCATGGTACAATATGACATCTTAGCAAGAGAAAACTGTGAAATATCATGGAAAATGTAGTTCGCTTTTGGCAACTGCGTGCGTGCGGGGCGGGATGGGTGAGCGTTTGTGCTTCAGGTGATTTGCTGCTTGCAGTGAAAAGCGCGAGATGAATTAGTCCTGCGAGTGCCTTGTTTGCAGGTGTTTCCCCAGCTGAGTTGTTCAGCTTTCCATCGTCCTGAGAAAGGAAATGCTGTGTCAGGGGGGGATTTACTCCTTAGTGAAGCAAAATCTGTGCGGACTCAGGAATCAAGCTGCAGAGGAGGTGCTGGTCCGGGGATTAGGGAAGCTTGTCGCAGACAGATGAAATCAGGATGTGTTCCAGGCGGGATTTACCTGTGCCAGCCCAGCCCAGCCTGTCTTCCTGACCTTTTCCAGCTGAGAAGCAACAC